GCATAACTAATTTAATGTGTGTTTTGATTTCAGTTGTTAGTGGAATGGACAAGATAAGCTTGCAAACCGGAGTTTAGGAGTGAAAAGATAAGTCTATCTATTTGTCCAAATTCGATTGACTTTATTTTACATGTAAAATGTGTTTTACAAATGACTACTTCTACTTCTTTTTTGTATTTCTTATTTGTTATGTTCATTGTTTGTATTATTTTCAATCCCAAACACTCTCATTATCCCACTGTTTTTTTTTTTTCATTTTTCGTTGTTGTTTTCGTGTTTTACACAACTTATAATTGCGTAGCGTTTCTTTGATTATATGTGTTTTGTTTGTTTTTCTATTAGATTAATTAAGTTTTAATTCTCTTTTTTATTATCTTTTGATTAAAATTGTTAAACGTCGAAAACAAAATTTAATTACTTGGAGAGAAAGCTGATGGTTAGATCATGGAGGGAAATTAGGAGTTTGTAGGTTGTAATAGATATTAATAGAATATAGAATTCAAATAGGGTTTTGGGCTTTTGAGGCTTGTGGCTTACGGGCTATCGGACTTACGAGCTTTTAGGTTTTGGGTTTATATAGTTAGTGGTGAGGGATTAGGGCTTAGGGAGTAGGGATTTAAGATTTGGGATTAGGGATTATGGATTAGGGATTAGGGCTTAGGGTATAGGGAAGTGAGATTAGGGCTTTAGGAGTTTGGATTAGGGATTAGGGATTACGGATAACGGATTAGGGGTTAGGAATTTGGGTTTATTGTTCTTTTGCTTTTTTGTTTGAACTCCTCATCATTCTTATCCTATTTTTTTTCTTTTATTGTTGTCTGTGATGTTTTGAATTTTCATTTTATGTGCGTAACTAATCTAATGTGTGTTTTGATTTCAGTTGTTAGTGGAATGGACGAGATAAGCTTGAAAACGGAGTTTAGGAATGAAAAGATGAGTATATCTATTTGTCCAAATTCAATTAACTTTCTTTTACATGTAAAATGTGTTTTACACATGAATATTTCTGCTACTTCTTGTGTTTCTTACTTATTATGATCATTGTTTCTATTATTTTCAATTTTCAACACTCTCATTATCTCACTGTTTCCTTTTTATTTTTCGTTGTTGTTTTCGTGTTTTACACAATCTATAATTGCATTGCATTTCTTTGATTATATGTGCTTTGTTTGCTTTTCTATTAGATTATTTATGTTTTATTTCTTTTGTTATTGTTTTTCTATCGAAATTGTTAAATGTCGGAAATAAAATTTAATTACTTGGAGAGGGAGCAAATGGTTAAATAATGGTGAAAAATTAGGAGTTTGTAGCAAGTTAGAGATACTAATAGAATATAGAATTCAAATAAGGTTTAGGGCTTAGAGCTTTGGTGGCTTGGGGCTTACGGGCTATCTGACTTGTAGGCTTTGGGGATTTTGGGTTAATAGTTGGGGGTTTGGGATTAGGGCTTAGGGCTTAGGGCTTAAGAAGTAGGTATTAGGTATTAGGTATTAGGTATTAGGGATTAGGGATTAGGGATTAGGGATTAGGGGTTAGGGATAACGGATTAGGGGTTAAGGGTTAGGTATTTGGGTTTATTGTGCTTTTGCTCCACCTCCTTATCATTCTTGTCCTATTTTTTTTCTTTATTGTTGTTTGTTATCTTTTATATTTTCATTTTTATGTGCGTAACTAATCTAATGTATATTTTGATTTCAATTGTTAGGGGAATGATGGAGATAAGCTTGTAAAGCGGAGTTTAGGAGTGAAAAGATAAGTACATCTATTTGTCCAAATTTGATTGACTTTCTTTTACATGTAAAATATTTTTTACAAATGATTATTTCTGCTTCTGTTTGTAATTCTTACTTGTCATGATCATTGTTTTTATTATTTTCAATCCCCAACATTCTCATTATCCAATTATCCCCTTTTCATTTTTCGTTGTTATTTTCGTGTTTTACATAACCTATAATTGTATAGCATTTATTTGATTATATGTGTTTTGTTTGCTTTTCTATTAGATTAATTATGTGTTATTTTTTTTATTATCTTTCTCTTGAAATTATTAATATCGGAAACTAAATTTAATTACTTGGAAAGGGTGCGAATGGTTAAATCATTGATGAAAATTAGGAGTTTGTAGTATGTAAAAAATAGTCATGGAATATAGAATTCAAATAGGGTGCAGGGCTTGGGGCTTACGAGCCTTTGGGGTTAGGGATTTAGGTCTATTGTTCTTTTGCTTCTGTTTCTCCGCCTCCTCATCATTGTTATCTTATTTTTTTCCTTTCTTGTTGTTTATTATCTTTTGAATTTTCATTTTTATGTGTGTAACTAATTTAATGTGTGCTTTAATTTCAATTGTTAGTGGAATGGACGAGATAAGCTTGAAAGCGGAATTTAGGCGGGAAAAGATAAGTATATCTACTTGTCGAAATTCGATTGACTTTCTTTTACATTTAACATGTGTTTTACACATGACTATTTCTACTTTTTGTGTTTCTTACTTGTTATGAGTATTGTTTCTATTATTTTCAATCCTAAACACTTTCATTATTCCACTGTTTCCTTTTCATTTTTTGTTGTTGTTTTCGTGTTTTACACAACTTGTAATTGTATGACATTTCTTTGATTTTATGTGTTTTTTTTTATTTTTCTATTAGATTAATTATGTGTTATTTCTTTTTTTATTATGTTTCTATTGAATTTGTTAAATGTAGGAAACAAAATTTAATTACTTGGAGAGGGAGCAAATGGTTAAATCATGGAAGAAAATTAAGAGTTTGTAGTGTGTAAAAGATACTAGTAGAATATAGAATTCAAATCGGGTGCAGGGCTTAGGGCTTGAAGGCTTGGGGCTTACGGGCTATCGGACTTGCGAGCTTTTGGGTTTATAGTTAGGGGTTAGGGATTAGGATTAGGGATTAGGGTTTAGGGAGTAGGGATTAGGATTAGGGCTTAGGGTTAGGGAATAGGGATTAGCGATTAGGGAATAGGGCTTTGGAAGTAGGTATTAGGGATTTGGAATTACGGATTACGGATAACGGATTATGGATTAGGGGTTTGAGATTTGGGTGTATTATTCTTTTAGATCTTTTGTTTCACCTTCTCATCATTCTTGCCCTATTTTTTTTGCTTTATTGCTGTTTGTTATCTTTTGGATATTCATTTTTAGGTGCATAACTAATCTAATGTGTGTTTTGATTTCAGTGGTTAGTGGAATGGACGAGATAAGCTTGTAAAGCGGAGTTTATGAGTGAAAAGATAAGTATATCTATTTGTCCAAATTCGATTGGCTTCTTTTACATTAAAAATTTTTTTTTTACACATGACTATTTATGCTCCTTTTTGTAATTCTTAATTGTTATGATCAATGTTTCTATTATTTTTTAATCCCCAACACTCTCATTATCCACTGTTTTCATTTCATTTTTTGTTGTTGTTTTCATGTTTTACACAACCTATAATTGCATAGCATTTTTTTGATTATATGTGTTATTTCTTTTTTATTATCTTTCTTTTGGAATTGTGAAATATCGGAAATAAAATTTAATTACTTGGAGAGGGAGCAAATGGTTAAATCATTGAGGAAAATTAGGAGTTTGTATCATGTAAAAGATACTAATAGAATATAGAATTCAATTAGAGTTTAGGGATTAGGACTGACGGGCTATTGGACGTACGAGATTTTGGAGTTTTGGGTTAATAGTTAGGGGTTAGGACTTAGGAGGTAGGGATTAGGGATTAGGGATTAGGAATTTTGGATTAGGGAATAAGGAATAGGGATTAAGGATTTGGGTTTATTGTTCTTTTCCTTCTGTTGCTCCACCTCCTCATCATTCTTATCTTATTTTTTTCCTTTATTGTTGTTTGTTATCTTTTGGATTTTTATTTTTATTTGTGTAACTAATCTAATGTGTGTTTTGATTTCAGCGGTTAGTGGAATGGACAAGATGAACTTGAAAGCCAAGTTTAGAAGTGAAAAGATAAGTATATCTATTTATTCAAATTCGATTGACTTTCTTTTACATATAAAATGTGTTTTATACATGACTATTTCTACTACTTCTTGTGTTTCGTACTTGTTATGATCATTATTTCTATTATTTTGAATCCCAAACACTTCAATTATTCCACTGTTTTCTTTTTATTTTTCGTTGTTTTTTTTGTGTTTTATACTCAACCTATAATTGCATGACATTTTTTTGCTTTTCTATTAGATTAATTATGTGTTATTTTTTTTTATTATCTTTTTATTTTAATTGTTAAATGTAGGAAACAAAATATAATTATTTGGAGAGGGAGCAAATAGTTAATTCATGGAAGAATATTAGGACTTTGTAGCATGTAAAAGATACTATTAGAATATAGAATTCAAATAGGGTGAAGGGCTTAGGGCTTTGGGGGCTTGGGGCTTATGGGTACCAGACTTACGGGTTTTGGGTTTATAGTTAAGGAGTAGGGATTTGGGATTAGGGATTAGGGGTTAGGAATTTGAGTTTATTGTTCTTTTGCTTCACCTCCTCATCATTTTTTGTCCTATTTTTTTTCATTATTGTTGTTTGTTATCTTTTGGATTTTCATTTTTATGTGCGTAATTAATCTAATGTGTATTTTGATTTCAATTGTTAGTGGAATGGACGAGATAAGATAATTAGGAGTTTGTAGCATGTAAAAGATACTAATGGAATATAGAATTCTAATAAGGGCTTTGGGCTTTGGAGGCTTGGGGCTTACGGGCTTTTGGGGTTTTGGATTCGTAGTTAGGGTTAGGGATTAGGGATTTGGGTTTATTGTTCTTTTGTTTCTTTTGCTCCACCTCCTCATCATTCTTATCCAATTTTTTTCCTTTATTGTTGTTTGTTATGTTTTGAATTTTCATTTTTATGTGCGTAACTAATCTAATATGTGTGTTTTGATTTCAGTTGTTAGTAGAATGGACGAGATAAGCTTGCAGAGCGGAGTTTAGGAGTGAAAAAATAAGTATAACTATTGTCCAAATTCCATTGTAACATGCGATGAACCATCCTATTTGCTTATGGTTGTTTCCTTTGTTGATCTTGGAATTTGGAGACACTGCTTTCTTTCATGGTTATCTTTTTGAGGAGACTAAAATGATGAATAAATGCTGGTTCTCTCCGTAACTATTGGTAGCACATTAGTTTTCGATAATGATTTTGGTGTTTTATTTTCCTCCTGCAGGGTGCCTTTGTTCTTTGTTGTCTATTAAGAAGCATGATGAAAAACAAGATGAGAATGCTAAAGATGAAGTTAAACAAAATATTCCTTCTCCTTCAGTAGTTAAATCCCCCGCTGAAGGTACTCACTCAGAGCCAGTTACCCCAGTGATGGGTAGACAAGCTGGATTGTATTCTCCAAGTACTGAAGGTGGGCATGCTGAAACTGAGAGTCCAACACTTTATGCTCGTTTACCTATTGACCAGGACAGCAGTAGCCTTGTTGTTGATTATACAAAGATAAATTGTTAGACATACAATCCCTCCTGGTGTGGAGTTGAACTAACTTCTAGTTTATATTAG